GAAATGTATTCAAAAAGAGATGAGATCCGAAAAGAAAAAAGAAAATTCTAGCCAGCAAACTTTAGCTAGACATGGGGTGGTTGAAGATGTATTCAATTGCAAGAGGGCAAGAGTCGATTTTATCGGCTTCCTTATCGGGAATTTCCAGTTTGAACTCTTCCTCAAGAGCCATCACAATTTCGACTGTGTCTAAGCTATCCAAGCCCAAATCCTTCTGGAAATGCACATCGGGATTCACCTGCAGAAATTTAAAAGCAAAAACGGTGAATTTTTTTAGCTACTAATTCCTAGTAACAGGACATCAGAATAATAAACATTAGATATCGTTATACCAAGTTAGTGTAATCAAATATCATTTACTTTGTCTTCGCACATGATTCTTCATCCGATGAAAAACATGCATCGAAATCGAAAGACAAAAAGAGAAGAATGGTACAATCAGGGAAAAAAAGAAAACTATCACTATACGAAGTTAGTGTAGTATTAAATCGAGGGTTCAATTCCCTTTCGGGTTCGGGTTGTAGGCCATTTAAAAATAAAATAAAAAGGTTTATAACTCCGTCTATATGTTTGATTTGAATTCCAGTTTTTACCTTACTAACAATATTCTAAGATGACATAGTGTATAGATTTACGAAGATATGTCAATAGTTCAGTGATGTGTTGTACGAGATAAAATTCACGATTGCTCATAAGATCAAATGAGAAGCATTTCGAAAAAGAATTAATCTATTCAGTATGGAACTTGGAAAACCGGATATAAAGAACAAAGAGCGGCGAAAACAATGGTAGAGGAGACAACATATCTTAACTACTAGGGTAAATTACGGCCACCGCATGTAAGGTCAAATTACGAAAAAAAAACCCCTCATGTTTGGATAATTACAATCCCCTCAACTATAAATCTTCTTACACGTCCACCCTTATGGTGTCAAATTCAACAACATCTTCTAGATCCCGTGGAATATTCTCTAGTTTGTACTTGTTTTGTGAAACAAAAATACAGTTTTCTGATGAGCCACAATCTGATATTTACAAGCCAAGAGACACATCTTATGATGATCATATTGTTTCAAAATATGGAACTCGAACGGGATAAAACGAGCACAAACTAGAGAATATTTCACATAATCTAGAAGATTCCGCTTAATTTGACGTGTAAGAAGATTCATAGTTGAGGGGATGATTGTAATTACCCAAACACGAAGGGTATTTCCGTAATTTAACCTTACCGCAGGGGATGGCCGTGATTTACCCTAACTTCTATACATTCGGAATACCAGTTTTCAACCCTAAGTTTAATAGCTATGTTTCTCACTAATAGCTTAACAAAACACTTCTTCTTTTTCCTGTGAGACTATATAATATGGAGATTGTGCTAAAAATTAAAATCCCATTACAGAAATTATTCAAGTCTGGATTTTAATTCATCATTTTCTTCAGCCAAAAAATCTACACAAATTAATATTTTAAATTGAAAATTTTCATGTGTCATAAAATTCAACAGTACCATCAATTCAACCATAAAGTAAAAATAAAAAAAAATAAAAAAAAAATTACATAATTAGAATTTCAACATCAAAGAAAAAAATGGAAGGTAGAAATGAAGGAGCAGACCTTGGAGGGGTCAACTTTGGGGAAGCATTTGATAACTTCGAGAACTCGGTCAACGACTTCCTGCTTGTCGAGATGATCGTCGCCGTGGGATGACATTGATCGGACGGCCGTCATTTGTGATCCATTTATGACTGTAGATCGGGCTATTGGAACCTGAATGCGGCGGAGTACGGCGGATCTCAACGCCGACGCCATTTTCTTTTTAACTTCGAGATAGGTTTTACTGAGAAATCCTGAATGATTCTCTCTCCTCTCTCTCTCTCGCTCTCTCTCTCCACTCTTCTCTCTCTCTGGATATCGGAGCTTACTGGGCTTTGAGGGTGTTTTTGGTATTTTGCCAAGGGGTAATTACTAATTATATTAGTCAATATAATTATTAATTTATCAATTGTTTTTTATTTATAATAACTTTTCAATTGTTTAATGTCCTGTAATTTAATTATAAATTTTAAACATGAGATAATCTCATATTAATTATGCTAAATTTCACTAGTACGTAAACACTTTTTTTCAACATAACGTGATAAATGTCGTTTCAGTTTTAATCTTTTGAACTTCAAATATAATTTTGACAATTATTTAGTCTGAATTAGGCAAAAATCAAATCACGAAATTTATAATTCTTCATGTTAGATTTCTAATCCAACTTGAATTACCAGGATTGGATACCTGACAGGAATTTTATCCATGAATCAATGAACTATGTCCACAAATTTGGTAATTAAGCTATCTAAAATTCAAAACGTAGGTCATTCATGCGTAAATTTATCATCCAACACCCAAATTAGCTGATTCGATTTGAATTATAAAAGCTAACACAACGACAATTTCCGCGTTTCGTATTATGCCAAAATCGTACTAAAAAATGGTCAAAATCCAGTTCTAAGTCAAATTAGTATTACTAAAATGCAAACAACATTTAACATTTAACATCACCAATTAATTTTATTTATATTGTAAATTTAGATTTATTTTAATTTTTATTTGATATATACGAAAAATTCTTAAATCTCATTAACCAGTTCTTCCTATTTTATTAAATCATTTTTATTTTCCCCAAAAATATAAAATTATTTTGTCATCTCCATTCTCAATTCTCTCCATTTACTACTTTGACGCGAATCAAACCTACAAATTCCGTCGTCACCGTTTCCTCCGGTAGAAAAAAACTGCGTTCCGCCGAGATCCCGATCTCTTGTCGGAAAACTGCAACCGATCTGAATCCGAAGATCCGATCTGATCCGATCCGAGTTAGCACTCAGCTGATCCGAGTTCGAGCGATGGCTCCGGTTTCAGCTCTAGCGAAGTACAAATTAGTGTTCCTGGGAGATCAATCCGTCGGAAAAACGAGTATCATCACTCGTTTCATGTACGATAAATTTGACAATACTTATCAGGTGCGCAAATCAATTTTCCGCTGAGTTTATATTTTTTTATTTTTTATTTATTATTATTATTTTTGGATTTTTGTTTTGTTATGCTTGAGGTGTAAAGAAGGTTTTTAGTACGGTCGATTCATTTGCAGTTATCTTTGTTTGCCAATATTGTTTTTCCTCGTTAGCTCACTGTCCAGTGTCCAGCTCAATAACAAGCTAGAATTGATTTTTAGAATTTTGTTTTCGCTAGTGATTTGATGTCAAAGACGATTCGTTATAGTAATCGATGATCGTTTTCGTACATTTGTAATTCCACTCTGCTGTAGTAATTTGATTTTTTTTTTTTTTTTTTGGTTAATTCTGATGATCTTTTGGTTTATTCGTTTCGTTATAATCTCTCAAATGAAGTTAGTCAAACTTTAACTGATTTGAATTTGGAAATGTGAAGAGTTAATCTGCGACGATAGAGTTTTAAAGAAGGTTTTTAGGAACGAGGGAAAGTGGGATGAGAACTTACATCCCTGTTCTTTTGATTTTTTTTTTTCTTTTCAGGCTACAATAGGTATTGATTTCCTCTCGAAGACTATGTATCTTGAAGATCGAACTGTACGGTTGCAGTTATGGTAAGATCTGATTCTTAATTGAAATGATATTCTCTCTCATCTCTCTCTATTTGTATGTTGTACTATTGCTGAGTTACATTTCCATTGAGACACTTTGCATCTCCATTTCTAAATGATAATAATTTAGTTGAAATAAATTATTGAAATTCAATAGGTAGTCGACAGCTTTGGTCATTTATGTGTTTCGTATATCAAGGCGTTTTTGCATTCTTTGTTGACTGGTATATATGTCCGCACCATATAGATATTCATTCATCTTTTTCGTTGAAGTCATGGTTTCATGACAAAATCACGGCAGACATGAGATGAGCTTCTTTTACTAGGTTTTATAACCTATATTTACTGAACACTCGTTTTTATCGTCCCCTTTGATTTTTATTTTTTTCTGAAGAAATAATCTTCGTTAACTTGCATGTTCAGGGACACTGCTGGACAAGAAAGATTTAGGAGTCTCATACCGAGCTATATAAGGGACTCCTCTGTTGCAGTCATCGTATTTGATGTTGCAAGTACGGTATTCTCTCTTAATGTTTTTCGTTATTACTTAAATATTTTGAGATGACTGTTGTTTGAGTTGTGTCCGATATGAATTATATAACATAACCTAATTAGTTGGCATTTACGATACTTTAACTGTTTATTAGGCAGACAGACCTTTCTCAATACTTCAAAATGGATCGAGGAGGTTCGTACCGAGAGAGGAAGTGATGTTATTATTGTGCTCGTTGGCAACAAAACTGACTTGGTTGATAAGAGGTAAAGTGTTTCTCTACTTTTGTCTCTTATCAGTGTTTTTCACTTACTAAAAAATGAAAACTCTTATTTGCATTTTATTTTATTTTATATATATATATATATATATATATTATTGGAAACTTGATACTCATTATTCATTGGTGAGATAAGTATTTTGGTCACATGCATTGAACATCACGTTCATATCCAGGCAAGTTTCGATAGAGGAAGGAGAGGCCAAAGCACGTGACCTCAATGTCATGTTTATCGAAACAAGTGCAAAAGCCGGGTTCAATATAAAGGTAACAAACTGCAACCAACTCTATTTGTTCTTCTCATATTCAATTTGTTATAATTTGTTCTTCCTCAATTCCGACTATAGTATCTGTATCATCATTCAGTTTGATATTGTTGTGTCACTTCCTCCGGTATTTTCACTCCAGTTATTAATGCTATTAGTCTAAGCTAGGGATCAAAATTGGAACATAAATTTCGAATTCCGTCGATCTCGACCCGATTTTTTTGGATTTTGGAACAATATTTTTCATTCAAAATTCCGAATTTTCTGATTTTTCTTTTATAGTAACAAAATTCCGATTTCCGGTCAGATTTTAATTTTCGAAAGTATTTCTGAATATTCCGACTTTTTTTTTCAAGATGTTACACTTATAATATCAATATTATTATTTATTTTGTATTATAGGTGAAGGAAAAATTGGAATTTCCGAATTCAGCTGATTCCGATCAGAATTCTTCCGATTTTAGAACAAATTATTTCGTTCCAGTTTTCAAATTTTCCGATTTTTGTTTTGGAACGCGATTAAAATTATTACTTCCGAATTTTCCACCGTCCGATTTCCATCCCTAGTTCTAAACCTTCTACTAAACCACCACTAGCACAATCAGTAACGGACCCATAATTTTATATTCAACGAGTCCAAATATATACACAACATTTTTTTTAGGGAGGGCAAACAATACTACATACACTACCCCGAAAAACAATAAATCCGGAAATAAAATAATATTTTTCTTATCGCTTCAATAGTGAACTCTTTCTCGTTATTACAGGCACTATTCCGGAAAATTGCAGCAGCACTACCCGGAATGGAAACACTGTCATCAGCAAAGCAAGAGGATATGGTTGATGTTAACCTCAAATCGAGCAACACAAACGCATCTCAATCTCAACAACAGTCCGGAGGGTGTGCCTGCTAATAATTAATTAAAAAAAAAACATCAACTTCTTTATTTGCGTTTATATCGAATTATTTTTCTATTAATGCATCTGTAAATTTCTTCACTGCCCTTTTGATAATAGAGTCGAATTTTGGTCGTGATTGTCGGATTAATTCTAAGCCGGATATATATATTAGATTGTCATTACAGTTCGTTGTGTCATGTATCATTTGGTGAGCAATTGTTATTCGGGACCATAGATAGTTTCTTTTCCAACCTTTTATTTTATTTTATTTTATTAGTGGTGTTATATTTGAATGCAAGGGTAATTAATTTATTACACTGTTAGTGAGATTTATTTTTATTACAGTTGTTTTAACTTTTAGCACTTATTTTCCAAGGGAAACAAAAATTAACAAATTCACAGTATTATTTATTTATTTATTATTATTATTATTATTATTATTATTATTATTATTATTATAATTATTATTATTATTATTATTATTATTATTATTATTCTTTGTTAAATTGTGAATGATTATTTTTCGATAAAACTACAGTTTGCATCCCTCAAGTTTGCACCGATTCCACATTTTATTCCCATGTTCAGAAAAAAAAACGCATTTGATCTTTCACATTTCACCAATTTAACATTTTTAATTATTTTTGTCAATTTAACCGTAAGGTCAACTAGTAATAAGTCGGGACCATTTTTTTCCTTTTTTCTTTTATTTTGGGTTCGAAAAAAGTCAAATAAAAAGGTGGAAGTGGGAATAATTCAGATGTGAGGTCAACTAGGTAACCAGTACCACTACCAGCTGATGCTTTGTTCCTTTATTACTATTTTCTTTTTCTTTTTTTTTATTTACGAAAAAATCTAATTGAAAATAATTATTCAGTCGAATGTAGCTGGTGCTTCAGCTAGCACGTTGTCAGATGGTTTTATAGATGCTAACGTACAATAGAATTATATATCACCCAATAAAATTTACCAAATGTTGATATAACAAACACAAATTAACATACTCCTCTTTTTTCTTCTTTCTTCTTTAGATATCCCATGTTGATTTTTTTTTAATTGTCACTCCCATTTTTAGTTTCTCCTTTTTAAATCTTGCAAAAAAAAAACGGCGAAATCACTCGGCCCCAGGGTCTCCCATCCCCTGGTCCGACATTTTTTTATGGAGGAAGAATATAAATCATGGTGACTGAACAGTTCATTAGTATAACGGATCTGGATCTGGTGTTCAGAATGAAGCAACTCTCTTAAAGTTGAAATTCTAACACCCCAACTGCCAGTACTCGATCATAGGAGTGCGTCGCTCTATCATTCATAAGCACGTCAATGTATATGTGATTCTTTTTTATTTTCTTTTTATTAGTGAATTATGATAATGATATAACAATATATTTCACCCGATATAACATGAAATAAAAGTTTATGTTCAAAATTTAAATTAAGCCACCAACCACCTACCAAGCTTTACTAATATATAAGGAGTAAACTGCAAAAACTACCCCTGTATAATCTCGAAATAGCAAAAAACCCCCTGTGATAAATAAACTAGCAAAAACCTCCCCTGTGAAATTATTTAAATAGCAAAAACCCCCCTATGGAACTATTTGAGGGTTGACTTGATATAAAAAGACACAAATACCCCTGGAGTCTTGCAATTAATAAATTCTTATATTTTATAAATATTTTAATTATTTTATTTAAAAAATAATCAATTTAGTTGTTTATTATTTTTTTTTAATTTCTAAACAAACAAATTAAAAAGAATAAATATACATATAATATGTATATATATAAATACATTTTGAGGGACAATTTTGTCATTTCAAGTCTAAAAAATCAGCTAGGGGGGATTTTGTCTTTGACTAAATTTCACAGGGGGTTTTTTGCTAGTTTATTTATCACAGGGGGGTTTCTGCTATTTCGAGATAACACAGGGGTAGTATTTGCAGTTTACTCAATATATAAGGGAAAATGAATTTATACTCAAAATACCTATTTTGGTTATTATTCTAATTTAGGGGTCAATTTAAATAAATAAGTTATTTGAATAAAATTATTTGGAGTAACATGGGAATTGGGATTAATGATAGTGATTTGACATTCCTTTTCACCAAATTTGCGGGAGCAACTAACAATTACTCTTATCTACCAAAACAATCATGGACAATTATTATTTAATATGTTTGACTTGTAAGTTTAAAACATATTTAATTCAAATTTTCATATAATTATTTTCCCAAATATCTTGTATTCGTGTTTGGTACAATTTTTATTTTATTTATTTCCTACTGGGATTTCTCTGAATATTATTACTACATGGAATTTGCTTTCGCAAATGCTAGAGTTGCTACTTGTCCACTTGTTCTTCTGAAATCGCATTTAATTGTTTATGTTTTAGGATATTTTCCTTTTAATATTTTCTTAGAATAATCTATTTTCTATTCAATTTGCATATGCAATCAGACGGATTGAACAAAATTACACTGAGCTTGTGTCAATTGACCAAAGTTCGAATTCTCATGGCAACGGTCGCTAGGTGCAGTTCAGTTTGTCACACATGGTCAAAATTGGATATTGGGTGAAAAATATATGCATGAATCAATGAACATTGTCCAACTTTTTCATGTTGTGACTTGTGAGTTATCTATAATTCAAAATGTAATTCATTCACGCATAACTTTGGCACTCTGTATCCAGTCTACCTGATTCAAGTTAGATTAGAAAATTTATTCAAATAACTTCAATGTCCGTGTTTTGAATTTTACCAAAATCAGATTATACATGGTCAAAATTATGTTTTACAATCAATGATATCAGTAAAATTTAAACGTCATTTAACATTTCAATTTATTATTTATTTATTTGATCTATATTAGAGTTGGCATAAATTATTATTATTAGAGTGTTGAAATTTGAGCTAGTGGCGCCGCCAAATTGAAGAGAAGGAAAGAAACAAATTGGTAGATTTTTAAAATATTAATCCGTACCTAAATCACATTATTGGCATGTGTGCACATAATTCTTCCCGCCGGAATCTCCGTTTTCCAATTAATATATTAATTACGATTATTAACAAGTCAAGCTTCTAAGACTTTTCAAATTATTGCTAATTAATCAATTAATTAATAATATTTCTTTTCAATTAATAGTTACTCAATTATTTATGTATTCATATTATTGTGGCTTTAGAATTCCAAATTAGAATCATTTATATTTTTACCAAAATTTGTCATTTATTTATAGAAAGTGTACCTCATGTACTGGTGCTTCCAGGTATTTATTTAATACTGCGTCGAGTAAAATACTAAAATGTATCGAATATATGATAATTATATTTAATTTATTCGTAAATAAAATTGTAGTTGGGAAGGTAGTTGTTTTTGCATTATAGAGCCTAAGTGGTAGATTAGTGGGAGATTAGTGGGGTAATAATAATAATGTAGTATTTATTTTTTTCTAGTATTTTATAGCAGTAAAAGTCCTAATAACAACTTAGGATTGTGTGTTCCTAATTTCTGATCTTGCTCGATTTTTTTTATTATTTTCATTTTATTTTTCAACTTTAATCTTTTTTTTTATTAGCTTTATTTATTTAACGAAATAAAGTAAGAAAGCTCATACGTGGTGACATCCTTGGTCCTAGATTTCTTGACCCACATCTCTTTCTTACCGTTGGAAATATTTTTAATTGGGGTATGGTCCCTCTTAGTAGACGGAATTTAAAGTCTGGTCCCCCACGGCCCACGAAAGCCCAATAATAATAAGAGTAAATTACACCTACATCCCTTAAATACACTAAATAACTTTAAGGTCCCTATAGTATTAGTAATTACAATCACACCCCTGAAACATTAGTCAGGGTTTTAACGGATTATTAATTTCAGTCTTTCAGGCAGTGATGGAGACAATATTGACACGACTCTCCTAATATTTCTTAAATACTTGTAATTTTATATAAAATATATAAATGTTCGTCTATGGTAGCATTAACGGGCCCGCGGAAAACAAATATAGTACATATATGTCCCCAAGACATGAAATATTGGCTCCAGTAATTATTTCAGGGATGTGATTGTGATTACCAATACCACAGAGAACTTAAAGTTATTTTAGCATACCTCAGGAGTTCAGGTGCAAAGTTATCCTAATAATAATAATAATAATAATAATAATAATAATTGATTTGTAAATATGGAAAAGGAAAACATATAGTGAAACAAAAATCAATATTAAGAGATGATAAGAAGTAAGAACAAACCAGAGTGATATTTATTTATATATAAAAATATGAATATTTAGTTAAAATAAAATATTGGATTAAAAAAAAAAAAGAAGAGTGACACAACCGCCATTGTTGAGTCAGTCTCAAGAATTCAATACACCACTTAACTCTCTCTGCTCCCCCATTACTATGGTGACATAACATCTTCAACAGTCTCCTCTTCCCCTTATTCAATTTCCCACCTCATTTTCTTTTTCCTTTTTCTAACTTATATACTTAGACTCAATAGTCACCATCTTTATTAAGATATATATACATGACATTTCTTCTCTTTTTTTGAATACACTCAAATCGTATATAAATTAATATAATCGAAACTAATAAAATTCTAATAATATAGCGAAATATTCAGTTATTGAACTACTAATTTAATACGTTTTCACCGAGTCGGTTTTCATCGAGTCGGACAGTCGCGGAGCCAGAATTCCAAGTCTAGGGCGCCGGAGGCATTCAACATATATATATAGGGGGCCGTTAATGCTATATTATACACGATTTTTTTTTTTTTTTTTTTTTTTTTATATATATCAATATAAAATGATAGGAATTTGAAAAATGTCGGGGTGCGGGTTCATGGGCCTCCTTGGCCTTATATTGACTGGAGTCGGGATCGTAACAAATTATTATTTAGGCGAATATTAATTTATCGATATTGTATTGTATATTGAAATTCTAGGGAGCCGTTATTGCTATTATTATACAAGGATTTTTTATACCTCTATATACAGTAATATAAATTTGAGAAACGTACGAGGGGCCATGCCCCCCTTGGTTCTATACTGACTGCGCCATTGAAGTTGGAATCGATAGAAATTATTAATTAGACAAAATTTATAGAGGTTCTACTGTATGTATATATGGAATTCAATTTTAATATATTTTTAAATTCTTTTTACTTCTAAATATACATTTGATGTGAAATTTAAAAGAAGAATTATTGTCCACTTGGGGACATTTTTTAGTGTGATGGTGCCACATTTTATTTCACTTTTGATCACATTAAATAGTCAACGCTTTAGGCATCATTACATTTATACATTTTACCCACCTCAACTCACTCACTCATCATTTATGAAAACGCACTAAATCAAATGTGTAACCCTAATGGGGAGCCAAATGCATCACATTCCATCGCAATACATCGAGGGGCTTTTTCGTAACTTCACTGATCGTATTACGAATCAAGAATCCCAACAAACAAAAACATTACATTTTATATTTTTTTTCTTAATAATAATAATTACCTATTTGTAACTAAAAAAAAAAAAAAAGTAAAACGAAAGTGTACATACAAGGAAGAAAAATTGACTGAGCGGGGGTAAAACGGTAATTTCATGGGTGAAAAAATAGGCGCGGGTGAATAATCAATGTGCAGGCGGGTCGTAGTTGTACCTCCCAAAATCGGCGAGTTTACGGGATCTGTTCTTGCAAAACGACGCCGCTGTGGACAAGTGCGGCTTCGCCGGAGCCCTAGATTCTCCGGCCACCGCCATCTCCAGCGGCGCTCCCTTCTGACTCCACTGACGGTTCGGGCTGGCCCTAACCAGGGGGCTCAGACAGAACGCGAACGCCGATATGTTGTTGCTGCTGTGCCCCGCCGCCGCCGCCCTACCTCCGCCGCGCCGCGTCGACGCCGGCGTCATCCGCGGTGTCTGCTTCCACCCTGGGGAGGAATCCGACGAGTATCCGCTTGATCCGCCGTGGCAATGTTCATCGTCGTCCGGGGGGTAGGTTTCCGGCGACATTCCTCTGTCGCGAATCCGGCAAGTCCGCCTTGGCTGCGTTCCGGTAGGGTTTTTGTCGATCGAGAAGTTCCGAATCTTCTTTTTCCGGCCGCCGCGGATAATGGTGGAGAACCACGAAGGATTAGCCGAGCATGAATCGACCGTAACCCTAGGATCGGGAACCGGACCGTGGTTTGAATCCGGCTTATCCGATTTCGATCTGAACAGACCGGAAATCAGAGAAGAGAATCTCCCACCCACACCACCACTACCGGTCGAGCTGCTCTTAATTTCGACCGTGATCGAGCCGGTGGGCCCCACGTGGGGGGTGCTGTAGAACCGCCCCTGGATCTGCCACGTGGCGGCGGCGGTGTCCGACTTCCGGCGAGAAATATACGGCGACACGGACCTAGGGAACGGAAGTGACCGCGGCTTCTGCGCGTCGGATTTGAGGCATTCATGGTGGGCCTGCTTCAGGACCTGGGCGGCGATGATGGCGGAGAGGCGCTCCACGGAGGCAGGAGGCGCAGACGCCGACTCTGTTACTCAGATCG